TATATGTAGCTTAGGTTGAATTGTGAGCCCTTGATGGTCTCTGAGCTTGATTGTTTGCTTGCAGACATTTCATTACTCAAATAGATAACATCATCAGTGCTAGTGAATGTAGGGTTTGTTTGTATACAGTAATTTGCCCTGCCAATGTTGGTGGGTTGATCTGAAGTTGTGGATAGTGAAAAATATCAAGGAATATGAAAAATTACACAACCACTTAAGAAGACTCTTAGATTTCCTTTCTGAAAGCATGTTTTCTTATTTGAATAAAGATTGCATTTGCATAGTGCTAGAATTTATTTTTCAATCTATTTCAGAGTTTACAATTGTTTTTATTGCACTGTATGCATTTATTATAGTTTTTACTTACACATAGTTTTCTAGTGTATAGTATAATCATACGTTGTATGCATGTGCACTCTCTGAGAATACATGTATGGGGGAAATATTCGCACTTTGTAACAAATCATGATAGATTGCCAAGTGTGATGCATAATAATGGTTTTAACATGTAAAGTTCTATGTTTCTTGGTGCCAAGGTCTTTTGAGGGCCACTTTTTTCAATCTCAATTGACCCATCCAGTACCTTCTTCACAGGAGATGGTCTTGGCCAGGGGTAGGCAACCCAAAACACTTAAAGAGCCACTTGGACCCATTTCCCACCAAAAACAAAACACTGGGAGCCGCAAAACCCTTTTGATATCTAAAATGAAGATAACACTGCATATATCCTTTTTTACCTTTATTATAGATGTGTGTGTGTGTGTTTGTGTGTGTGTGTGTGTGTGTGTACACATATATATGTATATGTATATATATATATATATAAAATATACATACATGTACACATACACACACAGGTAAAAAAAGGATATATGCAGTGTTATCTTTATTTTAGATCTCAAAAGGGTCTCTCTCTCTCTATCTTTCTCTCTCCCTCCCTCCCTCTCTATCTGCCCTTGGTCTGCCACTCCTCTTCCCCCACTCTCTTTCTCTCTCTCTCTCTCTCTCCCCCCCCTCTCCTATCTGCTGCTCACCTGACAAGCTTCAAGCTGTTGTCCAACAAGCTCAGGGGTAGGCAACCTCGTCTCTTTTATGACTCATGGACTTCAACTCCCAGAATTCCTGAGTCAACCTAGCTGGGTTAGCTAGCTCTCTCCTGCCCTTCCTGCTTCCTGCTTCCTGCAGAGATGCAGCAAAGGGAGGAGCTCCGCCCAGGAAGCTTTTCAGCTCCTCGGAGAACACTGTGAGTGCACTCTCTTTTACACATACACACAGACACACACAAAAACACAAACACAGAGAGGGGGGGGGAGAGAGAGAGAGAAGCAGGGAAGCGCAATTGCCTCTCTCTGTCTCTGTCTCTCTCTGCAAAGGCAGAGGAGGCTGGGAGCCACAGGAGAAGGCTCAAAGAGCCGCATGCGGCTCCGGAGCCGCAGGTTGCCGACCTGTGGTCTTGGCGATCCCACATTTCTAGGAGATACAGGTAGTCCTCAACTTACAACAGTTCATTTAGTAACCACTCAAAGTTACAAAGGCATTGAAAAAAGTCACTTATGACCATTTTTCAGACTTTTGACTATTGCAACATCCGCAGGGTCATGTGATCCAAATTCAGAAGCTTGGCAGCTGACTCATATTTATGATGGTCGCAACATTCTGGGATCATGTGATCACCTTTTGTAACCTTCTGACAAGCAAATCAATGGAGAAGTCAAATTCACCTAACAACCGTGATTCACTTCAGCACTGTGGCAAGAAAGGTGGTGAAATGAGGCAAAACTCATTTATCAAATGTCTCACTTAATGACAGAAATGTTGGGCTCCGTTGTGATCGTAAGCCGGGGACTACCTGTGTAAGGGCTGAAACCAAGCAACATTGGTCCTAACCCAGGGGTAGGCAACCTTGGCTCTTTTATGACTCGTGGATCTCAACTCCCAGAATTCCTGAGCCAGCGTGGAAGTCCACGAGTCATAAAAGGGCCAAGGTTGCCTACCCCTGTCCTAACCTAATGGAACTGCTTCCCTTTGGACATCAGATGAACCTCCATCGTGATGATCTTCTAGAAAGCATGGAAGGCAGAATTAATTTGGAGGGGCTCTAGTGATTTAGTGTTTTCTTTCTTACAGTTTTGGTTGGTGAACACTGGAAGTGTTAACGCAGTGGTTCTCAACCTTTTTAATGCCGCGACCCCCCAACCGGTCGTAAGTCGAGGACTACTCAACCGGTCGTAAGTCGAGGACTACTCAACTGGTGCAGCACCGTTTGCAGAATGGGACTTTTGGCGGGCTCAGCAGGGCAGAGACAGCCTGGACAATTCCTATTGGCTTTTGAAAGCCAATAGAATTAGACTCTATTCAAGAGAGTCTATTCTATTGGCTTTCAAAAGCCAATAGAATAAAAGGGAGTAGCACAGCTAAGGAAAAGGGGGGAAAAAATGGCGGACTGCGTTGTTTGGCGACCCCCGTGAAATGGTCGTTCGACCCCAAATGGGGTCCCGACCCACAGGTTGAGAGCCACTGTGTTAACGTGTTGTTTTTATAAGTGATTCTTTATAGGTAATGATTTTGTAGCTCTGTTGAAATATTGTCATTCTGTTTTGTTTCTTTCTTACTTTTCCCACCATCTACTTTGCTTTATGTTCTTACTGTGGACATTTAACTATTTATTTTGTGTCATGAGTACTATAATATTTATTGCCTTGTAAATTGCCATGAGTTTGAATTGACGACATCCTCCCTTTACAGATAGACACCTCCATATTTTTGTTTCTGTTCATTGTTTTTTATCTAATTGCATGGTGCCCAAGTTGCTTTCGATGAGATGGGTGGTTATATAAGTTTGATTAATAAATAAATGTATAAATAAAAGACTCTAAACCCAGGTTAGGGTAAACCGTGGATGAGAGCTCAACCCAAGGTTGCCATAACTTATAACCTAGGCATCATGGCTTTGTTGACCTACCAGTTTCACATAACAAGCTTCATGATTGGTTTACTTTAACCATGATTTAATATTACATATTTGAGTGTAGACTCAATGCGTAGCATATTTTGTCTACTGGATCTGTATTTGCACAATAGAGCCTTTTCTCAACATTGCTGATAATTAGGAAGTTTAATCTCTTCTAGTAATGCTTGTCATAGTTTTATCTGGCTGTGGCTTACGGTTGATTTCTGGGAGATGTGGTATTTTAGTGTTTTGTACTGTTTTGTACTGTAGGACTATTTATCATGCTTAGTTTATCTTAAAAGAATGTGAAACTGACTTGCTGAGTTAAATTAGAGTCTTCTCTAACTGGGTAGGCCTGAATTCTGTGGTTTTTAAGGGTGCTTATTTTTAATAACACTGTACTCCTTTGCAACTGCTTGTTTGTACTATCTGGAGTGAATGCTCATGTGTGTCAGTTCTTCCATATCTACCGTTAGTAAATGAAGCGGTGTAATTTTATTTTGATACAGTCTGTTAAATTTTGCCTTCCTTTGATAAAGAATGGAACTTGGGTGAAACCAATGTGTTACGTGAAATATTAATTTGTTGGTCTTGTTTTATAACAAGACTGTGAGAATTATTTCTCTTCAAGCTGATATTTTCTTGTTCAGGAAACCTCTTTGGGACTGAAAAGTATTCAGGCTAGCAAAATACTTACAAAAAGCGAATATGGCTGTTCAGTCTTTACAGAATGCAAGCTTCAGAGTGCTGGATGAAAAGAAGAACTTATGCAGTGGTGGGATTCAGCCGGTTCGCATCATTTTGGCAGAACCGGTAGCTAATTTTTTTTGTTGCCCAGGCCCAGAATGGCCTTCCAGAAGCGGCATCCATACAGAGAACCGGTTGTTCACATATTTGAATCCCACCACTGTTGCAAAAAACCCCCCTTGCTTTGGTATTTTCCCACTGTTTACTTGCAATTAAGCCGTATGCTGTTTATTCACATTAACATTTTTTTTTGTACCCAACAATTTAAGATTTTCTTATTCTGTGCAATGAGGCCATGTTTTGCTTTGCTAAGGAAATCTATTCGTGGCATAACTGGCTATTTAGAGGAGACCACGTTGGGATTAGGGCTCTTTTTGGAAATGATTCAACCGATACTTTTTGGAGTTATAGTGGGCTTTGGGGGGGGGCGGTTGTTTCAGGGAATGACTCCAAATGTATTAATGTTGCTTTTAATGTTAAGGATGTATCAATAATCCCTTTTGCTCCCAAGTTCATACTTGGCTCTAGAGCAGTGGTTCTCAACCTGTGGGTCGGGACCCCATTTGGGGTCGAACGACCATTTCACGGGGGTCGCCAAACAACGCAGTCCGCCATTTTTTCTCCCTTTCCTTAGCTGTGCTACTCCCTTTTATTCTATTGGCTTTTGAAAGCCAATAGAATAGACTCTCTTGAATAGAGTCTAATTCTATTGGCTTTCAAAAGCCAATAGGAATTGTCCAGGCTGTCTCTGCCCTGAGCCCGCCCAAAAGTCCCATTCTGCAAACGGTGCTGCACCAGTTGAGTAGTCCTCGACTTACGACCGGTTGAGTAGTCCTCGACTTACGACCGGTTGGGGGTCGTGGCATTAAAAAGGTTGAGAACCACTGATCTAGAGCTTCCTGGCTAAAGACACCAGCGCCTCTCTGGATCAAATCGGGTCAGAATCTTATGACTTTCTCTTTATGACATCAATAATAATTTGACCATTGTCCTCAGTTCTAGCTAGCCCAGGGGTAGGCAACCTTGGCTCTATTATGACTCGTGGACTTCAACCCCCAGAATTCCTGAGCCAGCATGGCTCAGCTTGGAAACCTCTCTCATTTCCCTCAGCATGGCTGGCACAGGAATTCTGGGAGTTGAAGTCCATGAGTCATAAAAGAGCCAAGGATGCCTACCCCTGAGCTAGCCTGTACATTTAAAGTAGCTGTGCAGAAAAAAAAAACCCCAATTATTCCACATATTTTTTTTGCAGAATTAATAAAATACAAATTTTATGCCATTTTTTTTTTTGTTTCATTCCTAGATTTTCAGCTGAACTCTCATCTATCAACACTGGCAAATATTCACAAGATTTACCATACTCTTAATAGGCTGGTAATTACTTACATTTTTGGAAAGTCATAGTTATTTAATGTGAAATAGACCTTTGAATATTCTTCCTTTTATTATTTTGCAATCAGCGATGAAGACCTGTGTAAATTCAGCTGTGCATACTGTCATTTGTGCTAATTCTTTTTTCTGTATTCATCTTTAGATTAATATTCAAACTTTATATGCACAAGTGGTATGTTCCTTCATTCTTCCATTAAACAAATACCCATCTGATTCTACATATCTTAGGATTCTTATCCTGCTCTTCCTATTACCTTACATAGTCTTACCCATATAATAAGCATGCTGTAGGATTATCAGAAAAGAATGAAGCCAGAACTCTTGGTACTGATTTTGAAGGGGGTCCCAAAGTTTTTCTTAGTAAGTTTTAATACTTTGGGGTTTTTGGTATAATGGGAATAGTTATATTATTTAGATATGTACTTGTTTATGTGTTTTATAATGATAACTCAATTGTATTTCTGACCATAGGACCTTAATTAGATTATTTAGAGCTGTTTATCCTTGTCAGTATAAATGTATAATTTGCAGGGCATAAATATATTAAAACACATATCAAGCTATTTCTCTGCCCCCTTCTTTCTGGAAGCATTAGGAAGCTTGCCTATCACAATGATACGGTCAATTGTTGAAGTACTTATAACAGGAACTAAGAATTAGTAAGTCGTTGATTTTTGTCATGGTTTCACAGATAGAGAAATGAAGCTAACTCACAAATTACAAATGGGAGAAGATGGCAAGGAAGTGATGAGCACAGGGAGAAAGCAGAGCTACTTAATTCATTCTTGCCCTCAGTCTTGCATGTCTTCAAGCCAGAGGGAAAAAATAGCACAACTTGCCAAAAACAGAGCCGTAAAAGACAGACTAGGAATACAATTTAAAATAGGTAAGAACATAGTAAGAGAATACCTGTCACCCTAGATCAGTGGTTCTCAACCTTTCTAATGCCGTGACCCCATAATACAGTTCCCCATGTTGTGGTGACCCCCAAATGGGTGTGGCCACCAATAAGAGGGAGTAGGACAGCTAGGGAAAAGGGAAAAAAATGGCGGACAGCATGGTTTGGCGATCCCCGTGAAATGGTCATTCGAACCCAAATGGGGTCCCGACCCACAGGTTGAGAACCACTGCCCTAGATGAATTCAAATCACCAGGACCAGATGGATTACATCCCAGAGTTCTGAAGGAGCCGTCAGAGGTGATCTTGGAACCATTGAACCAATTCTTTCAAAGATCCTGTAGCACTGGAGAATTACCAGAGGACTGGAAAAAAGCTGATATGGTTCCCATCTTCAAAAAAGGGAAAAAAATAATCCAGGAAACTATCAGCTTGACATCAAACCCTGGGAAGATCCTAGAAAAGATAAGCAATAGATCTGCGAATTACCTTAGAACAGTGGTTCTCAACCTTTTTAATGCCGCGACCCCCAACCGGTCGTAAGTCGAGGACTACTCAACCGGTCGTAAGTCGAGGACTACTCAGCTGGTGCAGCACCGTTTGCAGAATGGGACTTTTGGCGGGCTCAGCAGGGCAGAGACAGCCTGGACAATTCCTATTGGCTTTTGAAAGCCAATAGAATTAGACTCTATTCAAGAGAGTCTATTCTATTGGCTTTCAAAAGCCAATAGAATAAAAGGGAGTAGCACAGCTAAGGAAAAGGGGGAAAAAATGGCGGACTGCGTTGTTTGGCGACTCCTGTGAAATGGTCGTTCGACCCCAAATGGCGTCCCGACCCACAGGTTGAGAACCACTGCCTTAGAAGCAAGCGAAAGTTATAATCGGAAGTCAACATGGGTTTGTCAAAAATGGATCATGCCAAACAAATCTTATTTCATTCTTTGACAAAGTGACTAAATTAGGGGACCAGTGAAATGCTGTGGACATGGTATACTTGGATTTCAGTTAGGCATTTGACAAAGTAGACCACAACCTTCTCCTTAGTAAGTTAGAAAAATGTGGGATAGACAGCATCACCAGCAGGTGGGTTTGTAACTGGCTGACACACCTCACTCAACGTGTAGTCCTTAATGGAATTACATACATCTACATGGAGATAAGTAAGCAGTGGGGTATCCCAACTTCTGTCTTAGGCCCAATACTCTTCAATATCTTCATAAGCAATTTAGATGAGTGAATAAAAGGGGACTCAGTGGGCTGCACCCAAAAAAGGCAATGCAGTCCAAGGCTGCATTAACAGAGGGAGAGAATCAAGATCACATGAAGTGTTAGTACCGCTTTATAAAACCTTACTCCACACCTGGAATATTGCATTCAGTTTTGGACTCCACAATTTAAAAAAGATGTAGAGACTCTGGAAACAGTGCAGAGAAGAGCGACAAAGATGATTGGGGGGGGGGAGACTAAAACACATGAACAGTTGCAGGAATTGGCTATGTCTAGTGAAAAGTAGGCCTAGGGATGACAATGATAGCAGTGTTCCAATATTCACAAAGAAGAGAGGGTCAACCTATTCTCCGAAGCACCCGAAGGCAGGACAAGAAGCAACGGATGGAAACTAATCAAGAAGAGAACCAACCTAGAACTAAGGAGAAATTTCCTCACAGTAAGAACAATTAACCAGTGGAATGGATTGCCTTCAGAAGTTATGGGTGCTCCATCATTGGAAGTTTTTGAGAAAAGGTTGGACAGCTATTTGTCCAGAAATGCAGGGGCTTGGATGAGAAGACCTAAGCCCCATCCATCTCTGTTATTCTCTTAAGCTGCTTTTCTTACAGCCTACCCTTTGGCTAAACCACCACCAGCAGACTTTTTCCCACATGCTTCCTGCTAATGGTAATAATCTTGGACATACTCCATCTAGCTTCCAATGGGTGAACCAAGAAAGGGATTGGTTTTAAAACAAAGCTAGTTTCTTATCACAGAGAAGTAATCTGGCAAAGGAAAATCATGCACACAGGCCTTTGAGGGAAGTAAACTCCAACATTGCCGTTGCTTATTCGGTGGATCTCATATTCTACAACCCAGAGATTTTAATTCCATTTTTTCAAACAGTTAGTCTAAAATAGACTTGTAAGCACATACACAAGCTTGTTCTGGACCTTCCTTTACTTGATATAATCCAAAACAACTGGAGGGCACTTGGTTGCTTAGCATCTACTCCAAGGCTAGACTTTTTACAGTATATCCAATTCCTGTATTATTTTAATCCAAAAGTGTTTTTAATCCCACTGTTAATATCAATTACAATCAGGCTGAATTTATCTTGTGGACTTTTTGGGGGGGAGGGGGGGAAACAGGCTGCAATGTCTTATTCATTATTGGCTTATATGGAAAGGGGTTTGAAATTCTTAGAAGTGAAATGAAATCTGGAACTTTGTTGAACCCATACATTTTTCAGTAATTAAAGAGAAATAGCAAAATAAGAGTATTAATAGGACTTTTTATGATAAAACACTTAAGAATTTTCAACCAGAATAATTTAAAGCAGAAAAGTTCACATGCTTTTCCTCAGATAAGAAAGTTAGTCATATCTGTCTGTAGTCTTTGACATTTAAATCTGGTGAGGGAAATGTCAATAGCTGTCAATATCTGAACCTAGCTGTCAATATCTGATAGCTGTCAATATCTGAACCTACAACGCAATATCCAAACTCCCAGTTAATTAATTTAAATGTTTTTTTCAGAATTTGACAGAAGATACTAGTCAAGACGATCACCAGACAGGTAGAGTTCTTAACGTTTATATGCATTACACAATTTTTAACAATGTTGAGTGAAAAGGAAACCTTATTAAGTTTTTATTTGTCAGGCAAATTTGTGTCATTATTTCTATTAAAATGGAAGACAGATTTATAAAACGGAGTGATAAGATTGTTTTAAAGGTGTATTAATGTTTATTCAGTTATTTAATATTGTTATATCAGTTACTTTTTATATCTAGTAAATGTTCAATTAAAATAGTAGACTATTGCAGGCTGTGTTAAAAATCTTTGATCAATCACGGTTTGTTTAATTATCTTCAGTGAATAAATCAGAGTGGCTGAGTTCACACAACATGTAAATCATAACCACCAGTAAACAAACTGTTGTAACTGAGTTCGCAAGACATGCTAAGAAAAAGACCAAACAATTCCCACTATACATTTGTACATTATATTAGGCCTAGTGTTGGTTCCTAGCAGCTTCTGAACTAGTCTGCAAGTATCTGATTTTCAGAAACACTTTGCCATTGCCTGCTTTCTAAGACTGGGAGCAAGTATCACTGGCTAAAAAATTACCCAACTAACTTTGTGCCCTAGGTGGGATGAGAACTCGTGGTTCCCTGCTTTGTAATCTAGCGGCTGAACCATTGCGCCAAACCAGCATGTATACATCAGATAAGGGCATTATAATAATGGCAACTTTATTTTCATATCTTCACTTAGTTATAGATAATTCAGACATACATGAAATTGTGTATGTGGGGGGGGGAGAATTACCTGATTGTCATCAATTCACACTTCCATAAATTGAATTGCATTTCCAGTTGGTTGACTGCTTACTGGTTTAAAAATCTTTAAAAACAACTGGTCTTTGGGGTTTGTTTGTTTGTTTGTTTGTTTGTTTGTTTATGAGACTTATATACCGCTTTAAGTGCGAGCACTCTCTAAGCGGTGTACATCAGTAAGCAATGTATATATATATTTACATTGCCCCCAACAATCTGGGTCCTCATTTTATCTACCCGGGAAGGATGGAAGGCTGAGTCAACCTTGAGCCGGTGAGATTTGAACCGCTGACCTGCTGAACACAGTCAGCTAAAGCGGCCTGCAGTACTGCACTCTAACTGCTGCGCCACCTCGGCTCATATTTTTTTTTTTCGCCCCCTGAAATATTTCATGTTTGTCTCTTTTTTTCCTACATTCCCTTGCAGGCAACCTGAGATCTTGCAGTTCATCAGACAGCTTTAGCAAAGTGATGCCTCCGAGGAAAAAAAGGCGACCGACCGCGGGAGATGATCTGACAGCTAAAAAAAGTAGACACGATGGGTACGTAACCTTTCCTATTCGGTCATTTTTCAATTAAAAAACATGACATTTGGAAGAGCAGCAAACCAGGAGAAGATGACTGAACTTTCAACTCCCACCAGCAACTTATTTCAATGAAATTTCTAGGCTTTCTTATGCTCTGCAGGCCTGAGCACAATATAGTCTCATTACTTTAAGAGTCATCGTCAAGTCTACCTATTCTTCCCTTAAGAAATTATTTAGGTTGACTGATTTCTCCGTCAGTTTTATAATTTGACCTATGTATTGTACACACTTTGTTTCTGATGGGGGTGTGGCAAAATGCTAAAGAACCCTATAAAACAGAAATCTCACAACGATGAGCCTTAATTTATAGTAAGTAAGCGAAGTAAGATTTGTTTCCTGTTGGTTGCACATGTAAATTGTAAGGAAGAAATGTTTCGGATCACAATTAAGGACAGCGTTTGTGCTCAATTGCGATCCAATTTATGAAGGATGCGTGTATATAATGTATATTTTTACTCGTGGTTTTTACTTGTGTGTAGGGTGCACCGTGGACAGCACTTAATTTTGTTGTGAGATACACAACGATCATAAAGATATTCTATTCTATTCTATTCCATTCCATTCCATTCCACTTCACTCCACTCTACATTCTATTCTATTCTATTCTATTCTATTCCATTCCATTCCATTCCACTCCACTCCACTCCACTCCACTCCACTCTATGTTCTGTTCTATTCTATTCTATTCTATTCTATTCTATTCTATTCTATTCTATTCTATTCTATTCTATTCTATTCCACTCCACTCCACTCCACTCCACTCCACTCCACTCTATGTTCTGTTCTGTTCTATTCTATTCTATTCTATTCTATTCTATTCTATTCTATTCTATTCTATTCTATTCTATTCTATTCTATTCTATTCTATTCTTATTTTCATTAATTTCTATCCTATCCTGTCCTGTCCTGTCCTGTCCTATCCTATCCTATCCTATTCTCTGTTATTCATTAAAGCAGCCTAATTTTTTTTTCCTGGGCTTCAGTGCAAGTCTGAAAAAAATCCTTGTGCTGTAAGAATTGAGGTTGATTTGATAAAGCAGCCACCACTTTTTCCAGGATCATGCCATCCATTGCATCTGTTTAAAGCTTGTCTCGAAAGTGCTTTAAATTCCAGTGTAGAATTTGGAAGTTTATGCAACTGATCTTATAAAATTATTTATAGTGTCAGAACTCTGAAAGTGAGTGGGTTGACTAGGGACAAGAAGTTACTTCAAAAGCTTGCAATCTATCGACATTGGCATATCGTTTTATAGAATTGTGAAATACCGTGTACTTAAGCTTTTTCGCTTTTTTTCAGCGTGTACAGAAAATATGATTCTACCAGAATAAGGTCAGAAGATGATATGTTTTCAAGTAAAAGGTGTTTAGAATGGTTCTATGAATATGCAGGCAAGTACTCACGTCTGCACATCTTACTAAGCAAGAATTTGAAAGGAAAAAAATCAATTCCTATTTGAAGTATTAAAAATATCATTTTTTTAATTAAATAAGGATGACTTCAAATAATTTTACCTTTCTCCGAAAGTGCAACTTAACTTTTGATTTACCATTATAGTCAGTTTTGCAGACCCTTAATAGATCCATTTATGAAAATCCAAAGGTGGCTTTGAAGTGCTGTATTTTAAACATTTGAAGAGTATCTCTTCTTGGTTAATTGGAGCGGTGGATGTGACTCTGCAATAAAGTAAATAATAAAATTCGATTCTGTTTTGATGAACCTTTGGGCCCTTTGCATATTTGCCTGTCTTAACAGCTGTGTGTGGGACTGAGACAGAGAAAGGAGTTTTTGATCTTTGGGCCTGCACGGCCTATTGTGTGCCTAAGCAGTGTTCAAGAAGTCACATCCTTGTAAGACCTGCTCTTTTTGTACAATCCAGACAATTTGGACTTTCATAATCAAGTAAATCGTAAATTTGGAGTAGAAAATAATCTTTGTCATTTTTACTTGTAGGAACAGATGAGGTTGTGGGTCCTGAAGGAATGGAGAAGTTCTGTGAGGACATAGGGGTTGAGCCGGAAAACGTACGTTCAAGTTCATCTATAGGTAGCAGGGAACCACTTTGTGCTTCTCCCGTTTCCATTTTTTTGGGTGATTTATTTGTTCTGTCGCTCTACCCTGAACCTGATGAGGAACTTAACACATTGATAGTGCTGGCACAGTGTGCTTATCCATTGTGTAATTAAAGGGCAAATATGGTTGCTGTTACTGTCTAACACAGCGGTTCTCAACCTATGGGTCGCGACCCCATTTGGGGTCGATCGACCATTTTTCGGGGGTCGCCAAAGGCGGCGATCCGCCATTTTCTCCCCTCAGGGGGCGGCGTCGCGCATGCGTGCTGCGCATGGGGGTGGCACCACGCATGCGCACCATGCATGTGTGACCCCCACCCCCATGCGTCCGCCACCACGCATGCGCAGAACGTTTGTGTGACGGGGGTCGCCGTCACACAAACGTTGAGAAACACTGGTCTAACACGTGGGCAGCTCTATCGCGCAACTTCCGTTTGTGATTAGATAATTGTAGCAAATGGTTCCATATGTCTATGCATGCAGGATGCATGTTATAGCCCAGGGGTAGGCAACCTTGGCTCTTTTATGACTTTGTGGACTTCAGCTCCCAGAATTCCTGAGCCAGCCATGCTGAGGGGAAAGGGAGAGGTTTCCAAGCTGAGCCATGATGGCTCAGGAATTCTGGGAGTTGAGGTCCACGAGTCATAAAAGAGCCAAGGTTGCCTACCCCTGTTATAGTCCATGAATGTATACTTTCCAGTTTGTTTAGGAATACATACATCCAGAAGCAATGTTGACTCGCATTTGGATGGCATACTTAAAAATTTGCTCTGCTAACAGGCTATCACAAGAAAACCACTTCTTCACCTACCAATGAGATGGATCATTGGGCATATGTGGGGCAGAAATGATATACATTTACCATTTGACTGTTTTATGCTAATCACGATACGAATGTAGCCCATTGAAATGATTTGATGTTTTATGTTTTTGCTGAAAAGAAGAAATTACTTTTCAGCACTCATCTTTCCTTTTTATGGCTCAGATATTTTCCACACACCACTGAACGCCAACGCTGGAAATATCCCCTACGCTTTTTCAAGTCTAAATACTTGAAAAAAAATGGAGCTCGGTATCCCTTCTGCCCTATCCCTGTTTGCCAATACAAGGCTTTGAAGACTAGATGCCTTAAGAAAAGCATTGAAGAAATATAAATTCTCCCGTTTCCCCGAAAGTAAGACCTCGCTGAAAATAAACCCTAGCTTGGTTTTTGGGTGTGGGTCTAATATAAGCCCTACCTCAAAAAAAAGCCCTAGTTTTGGGGCGAGGCACATGCCTAAAAATCAAGCTAGGATGGAGGGGGGGGGTGGAGCTGCCCCACGTGCCCTGTTGTAGCCAAGCCTCCCATTAATCAACACCTGCCTCACCTCACTGGGCCACTTTTTTTGTGTCCCCCCCCCTGCATTTCACTGTCAGAGGCCTTCCAGAAAGGCCTCTGTAGCTGAGAATGGAGCTGTTGTGATTTCTCGCCAGCCAGTGGATCCGGCAGCTGATGAAGAGGAGGGGCCTGGAGTGACATCAGAGTCAGAGGAAGGCTCTGAGGAGCTCCCAGACTTACAGTTCGGACGAGGAACCTGGCCCCTCTACTCATGTTCAGGCTGAGACCTAGCTGTGCTGGGAGCCTGAGTTGGACAGTGATGAATCACAGCTGGGGAGATATCCAGGATGTGCAAAAGCGCGGGCAAGAGAAGCGAGTAGGACAGAGGAATGCAATGGGGCGACTCCAAAGGCAAAGGAGAAGGCATTAGGAAGCCACGCCTTGGCGGAATTATAAAAGGGAAGGTGTGGGAGGTGCTGGTTGCCGAAGGCAACCGTTCATGTTGAGGATCGAGTTTCCGGGGACTGTGTTTGCCTTGGACGTTAACTCAGGTCTGTGAGAATAAAAGGGATTGTTTTTTTCTTGCGGTTTCTGCCTGCTTGTTGGAAGAGGGGTTTCTCCTTGTGAGCATAATAAGGACTATCGTAGCCTGGGACAGAACAGGAGCTCCGGGTTCTCCCCCGGCCTGCATTTCACCATTAGAAGCCTTCCAGAAAGGCCTCTGCAGTGGAGAACCAAGCTTTGGATTGAATCCGTAGCTCGGTTCTCGGCTGCAGAGGCCTTTCCAGAAGGCCTCTGACGGTGAAATGCAGTCGCAATCCAGAGCTCCATTCTCAGCTGCAGCGGCATTTCCTTGGGCCACAGAAGAAGTGGGCCAGCTGGAAGTGGGGCTCTTGGTGCCACCGCTGCGAGGTTCGTCTGTGGAAAAGACACCGCCCCTCTTTTGAAGGCAAAAAATACAAACAACACCAGGTCTTATTTTCGGGGAAACACGGTAATAATAAACTTTTGGGTCTCTTGTTTGTTTATTTTTAAACCAGGTAGCCATGCTTGTGTTGGCTTGGAAATTGGATGCTCAGAACATGGGTTATTTTACATTGCAAGAGTGGCTAAAAGGAATGACATCCCTGCAGTAAGTATTATTTCTATTATCAAATGTGAAATAGCTCCATTAGTGATCTATTGTCCTCTTGCAAAATGAACCTCGCACGTCTGTATAAAGTAAAAAACAAAACAAAACCCTGTACTTTCTTAGCCAATAATTTTGTGAAGCTGCATATAATGTTTAGGAGCTGTGGGACAGTGATTAGAATTCAGTACTGCAGGTCCACTCTGCCCACTGCCAGGAGTTCGATCCTGACCGGTTCAAGGTTGACTCAGCCTTCCATCTTCTGAGGTGGATAAAATGAGGACCCAGATTGTTGGGGGCGAGACGCTGACTCTGTAAACCGCTGAGAGAGGGCTGTAAAGCAGTATGAAGCAGTATATAAGTCTCTGCAATTGCTACTGCTATCTATTTATGTGGTTTTATTTGCTGTTCATTCCACAAAACTTGAGGCAGATGACAAAGAATAAAAGAAATATATTCAATAAAATTGGGAGCATTCAGTATTAAAAAGCTTATCTTAACAGGAATACTATGAGGCCTAAAACATTGTGGAACAACTGTTTTTTAAGCTCAGGAGGCAGGTGGACAGCTACATAAAGAGATATCAGGGAGCCCAGCCCTTGAAATTGGATCTGGAAATGGCCATAGCATACCGTGTTTCCCTGAAAATAAGATTGAGTCTTTTTTTTTTTATGCTTCCAAAAGAGGCACCAGGTTTTATTTTCGGGGGATGTCTTTTATACTCACCTCCGGCACTGACAGGCCCGTCCAGCCGGTCCACTTCTTCTGCGGCCAAAGGAACATCGTCATTCTGCAGCTGCATTCCGGCCTGCATTTTGCAGTCAGGCCTTTGTGGAAGGCCTCTGCAGCCGAGTCCCGAGCTATGGATTCAATCCATAGCTCCGTCCTCGGCTGCAGAGGTCTTGCAGAACTGAGCTACGGATTGAATCCGTAGCTCAGGACTCGGCTGTGGTGGCCTTCCGGAGAAGCCTGTGACTGAAAAATGCAGGCCTGGCTGCAGAAGAGGCCTCAGAAGAAGAAGTGGGCCGGCGAGGAGAGGCCTAAGTGGGTGCGGGCAGATCCACACCCCTACTCCCACCCTAGCTTGACTTTTTAATGTGTGTCTCGCCCCAAAACCTGGGCTTATTTTTTGGGGTAGGGCTTATATTAGCCCCCTCCCCAGATCAAGCTAGGCCTTACTTTCAGGGAAACACAGTAGATGTTATGTGGCTAAATCTACCATATGCCCCATTCTGGACACATTAAAATTTCTTGGTTGTCTTCAAAAAGGCAGTCCAATGTAGAATTAATTACGCTAAACACGAAGCAACAAGGACATGTGTCACTGTACTCAGTGTTTCTCAACTGCCAGTAGATAGGTCTATAACAATTTGCCATGGCTGGCTTGCTCCAGCCTACTTGTCATGGCCAACTCACTGCAGGACAACTTTCCACGGGCCAATTCAACATGAGATTAATTCCTTTTATTATTCATCAAAGCATTACAAAAGCTGGTAGTCCCAGGAACGATTTTGACGAAAACGTGGCCAAGAAAAATAAAAGGAACCAAGTGAATCCCACAGGGAGCTGTCCCACGGCACGTTGGCCGTAACGAGTTAGCCATGGTGAATTGGCTGCAGCAAGATGGCTGCAGTGAGTTGTTTCATTCTGAGCTGGGCAAAAGCCTTCTGGCTATTTTGATGTGCTGCCAGCAGGGATTGTGAGTTCGGGAAAACACCCAAATTGCATCCGGGGGTGGGGGTGGGGGGGTGCAGCTCTGTCTAACTAAAACGGGAACTCGGGCATTGTCCTCAATGAACGGTTTTTGTTTTGTTTTGGCCTATCCAGGCCCTCACTACTTCCAGGGACTGGGTTTGGGCACAGCATTCCTGGCCCTGAAAAAATGATCAGCGTATTGAAAACGCTGCTCCTCAATCTGATGGATGACCTTTCTCAGTGGTGTCAATGTTAAATGTTCTGGAGCAGCCACCCCATTGCAGGGCTCCTTCTCGCACACGATGCCTGAGATTGCCTACTTATGAGGGAATGAAACCACTGCAAAACAGAACCAGAAAGCTTCATCCTTATAGACCAGGGGGTCTTCAAACTTGGCCCTTTTATGACTTGTGGACTTCAACTCCCAGAATTCCTCAGCCAGGCACAAATTCTGGAAGTTGAAGTCCACAAGTCATAAAAGGGCCAAGTTTGAAGACCCCTGCTCTATCCTTACTGCAGCTTTTTATTTTTAAATTGCTTTCATTATAATATTTATATATAGTTTTTGTGTTTTATGTCTATTTGCACACCATCCAGAGTCACTCTGTGAGGGAGACGGAGAGTTTTTAAATGTGATATTTAAATATAAATAAAAGGAGGTGAAACTATGATCAGCTCCTCTGATAACTACCTGATTAAAGTAAAGCTCTATCCCGGGGGTCTTCAAACTTGGCCCTTTTATGACTTGTGGACTTCAACTCCCAGAATTCTTCAGCTAGCATGCCTGGTTGAGGAATTCTGGGAGTTGAAGTCTACAAGTCATAAAAGGGCCAAGTCTGAAGACCCCTGTTATAGACGCTCCAGAGGGAGGCCATCTACCAGGAAGATCACAAAACCCTTTGGATCTAGCATGTTCAGGGAGATGGACATTCTTATAATCCAGTGTTTCTCAACCTTGACAATTTTAAGGCATGTGGACTTCATCTCCCAGAATTCCACAGCCAGCATTGCTGGCTGTGGAATTCTGGGAGTTGAAGTCCACATGCCTTAAAATTGTCACGGTTGAGAAACACTGTTATAATCAATCAAGACTGATGATGATGATGATGACCTCCATTTCTGGATCATGCTACATTTGCTTCAAAATAATTCCCAGGTCTTGCATCTGACTGCATGTGAAGGCCAAGATTTCTTGGTATGTCATGATTGTCACGGGGGAAGTAAACACTTAGGCCCACCCACCCCAAGTCAGGGAGATTCACCCTAACGCTAAAAGGCTGTGAGAATCTATTATTACCTTTCAAACAGTTCCCCTGCTGTCAGGTTCAGCATAACATGCAGACAATCCCTGTCATCTGTGTGGCAGCACTTCCAGTTGTAATCAGAGTCTCAAGAACTGTTAGCACCATGCCCTGTCTCTAGTTCAGTTGCACTCACACATACATTGTCTGCCTCCAGAACCTATACCAGCTCATGATCACCCTTTCCCTTGAAATTGTTCTCCCACTAGGTCCCAAGTAATGGGGTTGAAGCCTCTCCCCTCCTGGGGGGAACAATTTCCTGTGCCCCACATGTCTTAGGACAGAGGCCCCCAACCTTTTGGGCACCAGGGACCGATTCCGTGAAGAGAGGTTTTTCCGTGGACCGGAGGGTGTGTGGGTTTGGGTGCTGCCTGCATCCAATGGATGGGGCTTTGCTTGTTTGTGCGGACCGGTTGCTGGCCTGCTGTGGCCCGGTACCAGTCCACGGACTGGAGGTTGGGGACCCCTGTCTTAGGAGACTGGCCTAGACCTTCCCCTTTCATGTGTTGTAGATGGATTTCTCTCACATGCTAAGTGAAGAAATGCTGTTGTGTACTTTTGTGAGAGTTGTTTTGGGAAGACACTTTTCATATTTTAAAAAACACGGGATTTACAACTTGTGGGGTGATTGTAGCAATCTGTCTCATAATGTTTAAATTACTATTCACGAGAATTATTAATTTTGCAGATGTGATACAACAGAGAAGCTAAGAAATTCTTTGGATTACTTGAGATCTTTATTAAACGAGCCTATGAACTTTAAGCTTATTTATAGATACGCATTTGACTTCGCACGTGTGAGTAGCCTGAAATTCTGTTAAATCTTCCAGTAAGTTATGGTCAAAATGAGAAAACCATGTGGGGTGCTTTATTTTCTCTCCTGAATTGTTCGCTTTAAAACAATTACTCTTGATTTGAAACTGAGGGAAGAAATTAACCTTGCTAATCTGAAGGGCAAAATACATTACATTCTGGTTTGAAGCATATTGTGAGGAGGAATTGAGGTTGTTGACCCATTGCAGAATACAACCTATCCAAAGCCATGCATGTTGCCCCAGAGTCTTCCAAAATTGTATTTTTTAAGTCATGTTAATAATATCATGGAACATTCAAGCCCAAAGATGGTTTTTGCCCTGAAACCAATCTTGTATATCATGGAAGTGATGCCATTTTGAAACGTTTGCCTACCTCCAATATTTAATGGGACAGGAAGGGAAGTATTAAATATATGGGAAGTTGCCATATGGTTAGCATTTAACTTTCATTTAACACTTAAGTGTTAATTTTTAAAATGCTTTCTTTTGACTCTTCCTGCTTCTGAGATTGTGGATTGTACTCAGAGTCCCGAAGAGGCCTTCAGTCTAAAACGTTATATATCCCTGATTTTTTGAAGTTGATTATTGTAACAAAAAGCTACTATTCCTTTCTATTATTGTAATCACAGAATGGGATAGTATAACTTACGCAGATAGGAATATGTCTCTTAATATGTGAATAGGTCACTTCCTGGGGTTGTCTTCATACTGAAGATAGCATTGAATACCTTAACAAACTCTAGAAAGAGAAAAGCAACAAAGATGACAAGGGGTCTAGAGACTAAACTGTATGACGAATGGTTATGGGGACGAGGTATGTTTAATCTATTAAAGAGAAGGATTAGGTAGCTGTCTTCTAGTACTTGAGGGGAGAGTCAACTTATTCTCCAGAAAACCAGAGGGCAGGACAAGAAGCAATGGATGGAAGCTTGTTAAAGAGAAATCTGGAACAAAAGAGGAATTTTCTGAAGGACGAACAATTCATTAAATCTTTAGGAACTCTAGGTGTAGCTTGACGGCACATGCATTGATGAAAACAGAAAGCAAGGGTATGCTAGATAAAGATAAAAGTTGGATTATGCTTTTTTTGAGGATGAAACGGCTCTTAGCTCAACTAAACAATATTACAAGTATTTTTTTTGTTTCCTTCTCACAGGAAAAAGACCAGCGAAGCCTAGATATCAATACTGCCAAGTGTATGCTAGGACTCCTCTTAGGAAAAACATGGCCCCTTTTTCCAGTATTTCATCAGTTCTTAGAGGTACAAGTAGAAAATAACTTTTTAAGAATTTTTTTAAAATGCATTAAAGTTAAAAAGTGAGAATCGACAGTGAATTAGTTGAAAACGTGGCTGCCTAATATAGTTACACATTACAAAATGCAAATACTTAACATATGTTTTAATTTTTGCTTGGAATTGTTGCTCGGAGTAATGTCCCTTCACTTGAGGTTTGCTTGTTAAATTGTGTGTTTTTATTGTAACGGTGTTGTCAACGCTGCTAATATTGAATATTCTTGCTTTGACAATATATACAGAACTGTCTGGTATTTTTAGAGTTAAATCAGGTGACAGGGAAAGGGGAGGAGAATATGAGCCGAGGTGGCGCAGCAGTTAGAGTGCAGTACTGCAGGCCGCTTTAGCTGACTGTTCAGCAGGTCAGCGGTTCAAATCTCACCGGCTCAAGGTTGACTCAGCCTTCCATCCTTTCGGGGTAGGTAAAATGAGGACCCAGATTGTTGGGGGCAATGTAAATATATATATACATTGCTTACTGGTGTACACCGCTTAGAGAGTGCTTGCACTTAAAGCAGTATATAAGTCTCATAAATAAAATAAAATAAATAAGGAAAGCCCGGGGAAAAAGAAATGGAAGTGAATCTTTGCCCTCCCAGTTAATTGGAAGATGTGAATCATGATCCCAAAATAGGGGAAGGGAAATGCCTGGAATGTTATGTGCAAAGGAAGGGAAATTCAGATCTTAGCATTTCCACCATGCCGTGCTGACATCTCTGTAATACTAATAAAGGCTTTTAGGTTAAAAAAAATGCCTGAAAGTTCTTTGAAGTGTTTCGTTAATCAGACACATGACAGGTGTCTTTTACGTCAATTATGTAATTATGCAAATGCAATGGATGTAAATGATGGACATCCACATCTAACAAGATGTCCCATTCTCTAAAGCGATCCCTTATATCAGACATGTCAAACTCGCGACGTCATGTGACGTATCGGGACGGTTTTGCCATTGCCGGCAGTGGGGTGGGCGCGGCTTCCGGATGATGCGTCCAGCCCGCGGGCCGGCAGTTTGACACACCTGCCTTATATTGAGGCTGAACTAATACCCAAAGTTATCTATTTGGGATTTCTGAAAAGGAAGAACAGGCCTACTTTGAAAAAGGCAAAGATTTCTTTAAAATTCCCCATGCAATGAATGTATCCCAGAAAAATGGATTCTTGATGATGTCTTCCTTTCATCTGATTTGGTTTTGTTTGGGGGGGGAGATAATTTCTGGTGTGTTTGGTATCTTTAAATGTTATAGCTATAATATTTATATTATAGAGCAGTGGTGGCGAACCTATGGCATACGTGCCAGAGGGGGCACTCAAAGCCCTCTCTGTGGGCACGCGCACCATCGCCCCAGCCCCGCCTCCCCCTACGGCCCCCTCCTCACCAGCAACCCCCTGGAGGAGAGTCATCCCTGGGCGTGGCCCGCACAGAACAGTGCAGCCAAGGACATGGCAGCCGGGCAACAGGGACAAGACTCTGCCCTTGCACCCCGTCGCGTGCAGATGATGCTGCGGGACACGGGCAGAGGGCGTGGCTGTGCAGATGATGGTGTGGCGGAGGGCGTGGCTGCGCAGATGATGCTGCGGGGTGCGGGTGGAGGGTGTGGAGGCGGTGGGTAGCCCTGCGGTTGGGCAGGGCGAAGGTGGTTTGAGGGCACTCAGTCTCTAAAAGGTTCGCCATCACTGTTATAGAGCATTACACCTTCTATTATATTTGCAAAACTAGCTTTTGCATTTTTAGTTCCCAGTGACTTGGTTCAAAAAGCGTTTTGAATAACTGTTATTTTTTGTTTTAAGTAGCAATCTAAGTACAAAGTTATCAACAAGGACCAATGGTGCAACGTTCTGGAATTCAGCCGATCCATTAATCTTGACCTCAGCAACTATGACGAAGATGGAGCATGTACGTATTGTCAGGAAAGACAAAGAATCATTTCACATCGTAATCTCTGATCTCTATGCCTTTTTTTAAAATGTTTTTTGTAATTTTTTTTTAAAAAAAACATTTCCTTCTTTCTTTAAGGGCCAGTGTTGCTGGATGAATTTGTGGAGTGGTATAAAGAGAAACAAATGACATAGGAATTTTAACTATGCACAGCTGCTCAAGAGCTTTTGTTACTACAGTTAATGTCAACCATTAGCCATAAACTTCTCTTTGTATATAAAGCGCATGCTGCTTTTCCTGCACTGTATCCCATTTTCAGGGATTTTTTTGGTGTTTGCTGTTTAACAGGCCAGCTCAGCTTGCTGTGTACCATTGTTCTCTCCGAAGGCTGCTTTGCATTTTGTCTACACTACAGATGGCGAATTTGCCAGCATCCTCACTGTGACTAATGTGAATATTGCTGTCTAAACTTTGTATATGTGTATAAAAAAAAAAAAGCTTCATCTAGGAATGATTTCAGCAGGAAAAGTATTATAAAAATAATTATGTTGCATTCAAGTAACCATGTAACTTAATTTTTAATTGACTTGGTCTCGGGCATAGCATTTCCGGGAAAGCGACGGGGGAGGGAGGGAGGTTTGCCTATGTAGGACTATTGCTAGTTAGTTAGTAATAGTTGTTTTAGGATGCCAGTTTTTGAAGGAAAATCTTGCAGTATGATTTCTTTGCCAGTGCCCAACTTCATTTTTATTTAATAAGAAATTATTGGCTACCTTTTTAATTGAATCTCTTAATAAATTGTTACAGCTTGAACAGAGTTGTACATGCCATAGTAACTTCCATTTGGTGATCATGCTGATTTCCTAAGAGTCAGATGCTGTAGTTTGCGAAGAGATACAGGCTATCTGATTAAATATCTGATTAAAAAGGGTTTTAGACTTGTAACGTGGCACATTCTTTTATTTTACTGTTGTTCTTGTTCCCAGAGTGTGTTGATGATGTGGATAAAGACAGAATGAAGTGTTGTTTCAAAACACAGCCTAAATGTAGGCATATATTTCAGAGACTGGAATCAAAGCTTAGCCTGAAAACTCGGCATGGCTACTACATTTATTCCAGGGATTGAATTTCCAAGGCAAAATGCCAGTTACGAGCAACATCTACTCTAAGCAGCAGTATCACCACTATTTATTTGGGATCATTTTATCTGTTTGGACTGGAAAGTTCAAAGAAGTAGATGAACGAAGTAACTTCCTGTGTCACCTTTTCACCCGTCTTCATTATACAGTTCATTGTACATTTCTATACAAATTTTTACTAAGGTAGTTGTAGACTTACTGAAAAGGCATTCAAAAATCCACTGGTCTTTGTCCAATCAACCGAGAGTTCCTTGTGAAATTTGCAATAAAACATGAGCTTGCCTTCTACAGAAAGCTAAAGCTACATGAACATTCGGAATTTAGGAATGTAGTTTAAGCTTCACTTAGTACAAACCCCTTTTTTATTTTCAAAGCACTGAAGGTATTTGTAAAAAAACAAACAAACATGTATAGTAGCAACGCATACAGCCTCCTTAGGCCTGGATAGTTCTAAACAAACAAAATAAGAAAAATAAAGGACCGGAATCTAGAGAGATCCACGTACAAATGTGATTCTGCCCTTAACAGGAGCTGTGGGAATGGAGGATTTTGGGTTGGGTTTTTTTTTTTTTTTTTTTTTTTTTTTTTTTTTTTGATGCCTTCATGAGCTTGGGAAGGCTTGGAAGCAGGGATTGAATGGGGCAGAGCTACACAAGCTGTTGACCAAGTAGTAAGATTGGAAAGATCAAATGGAGGCAGTTACAATGCTTTTCCCAGGCTATCAGTTCTGTTTGTCCAAAGTACAGTTGGAAGTTGGCTGTGCTGTTCCCTTCAGCCAGTCTCTGTTGAGAACAGCCAGGGAACACCATGAGCTAGTGCTTGCTTCCTTCAATACCCCGACTTACATTCTCATATTATTTAGTATAGCCATAATCAAAACCTTATAACTGCCCATCTGGGAAGATACAAATACTGGATGGATGGATTACAGGCTAATTTGGTTGAGACATAAAAAGGAACTTTCACGTAACAAAGGTAACAGCCAAAGAACTTTATGAGATCTAGTTTTTATAAAGGGAAGTATAAGGTTAACAAACTTGTTCATTCTTGGGACTGATTCTCACCTTTTTCTATTTACATGTACACATAGCAAAAAGTATCTGATCAAGTTGTACAGAGAGCAAAGAGAGGACACACTTCAAAATTGTCCTGTCTTCCATTTAAAAATGAAGCAGCAGTTGGGTCCAGAAATCACTGTTAAACATGGCCTGTTAAAGGGCAGAAGCAACTGGCTGCAGTCTGTTGTCATTTGTCCATGAGGAGGCCTTTTTGTGGCTTCTATTACAAAGTTGATCAAGAGTCTTATCTTTTGCTCTGAACAATCATGCACCACCACAAAGAGAATTGGCCTTGCCTGTAAAAGCAGGCGCATTTAAAACATACTTTATTAAGGACACTGTGCTCACAACTTGTGTGATATACAGAAGGAAATGAGGAACAGGCCCACTTGGTATACGGATCAGAATGGTATCTTTGAATTTCTGACCTATCTATTTAAGCAATCATGCTCAGAATGGCACAGATTAGGGGGAAAAATCGCATTTTCTGGAAAACTGTTATGTAATGCTGTCAGAGTAAAGTTAATCAAAGTTGTTCATTTTTTTATTCATTTTGAATTTTTTGGCATTTTTAAAATAGTTTAATTGATTGTTGTTGTTGTTAAAGGAAAAAAAAAGCCGTACACTGAATTGGTTAAAGCTGAAAATATCTTTTCTACGGAAATGCTGGCAAGATGTGTATGCATTATTCTGATGTGAAATTCTTAAAAGATAAGCTTTTTAAATGACCAAGTGAATAAACATACATGAATGGGCAAATAGCCCATAATAAGCAGACCGTCTATATTGTCCGGTACCAAAGACTGATGAATCTTTTATGCTTTTATCTTTCAGAATCAGAAATGGTATTATCAATTCTAATACCTACTGTTATTTTTTACCATTTTCTTTTTGGGGGTCGGGTCAGATAAATTCAAATTGAATACTAAAAATGTAACCATCTGAAAGATTTTTGGTTTGTACAAACCAAATGATCTGTGCTTTTTGTAAATGTGAGGAACAAAATTGTGAAAGCGTTCCATAATTTACTATAGTATAAATTTACATAAAGCATTTAATTGAACGTGAATAGTTTCCTGCTTTCCTTTTTAAACAATTCATATTAGTCTCAGGCTGAGACTTTGCAGATACATTTTACTACATAAACACATAGTTTTAATTCTATGCTTGTAGTTAAATTTTCTCTTACGCTCCAAGTATTGGCAACTCTTTTCCCCTCTATTGCTTTTTAGAGAAACCAGCATGTAATATCAATATTGTTGAATTCATAATGGGAGGACTTCTAACAATACTTAAATATTTGGTAATATTTAATTAGCAATACTTAAATGCTTCATAATTGATAATAAAGAGTTGGTTTGTGCCTGAGTAAACGGTAAGTGTTAAATGCCTACTGATAGCCTTAAACTTTGTCCTTCTCACATGGTTGTGTAAATGCATAAAGTTACTTCACTGATTTACACTTCTGGCAAACTAAAAAAAAATGGGTTTTGTAACACCCTGTTGTGACAGAAACAATTTACCTGCTTTTTTGTCTTAAGTTTTCATACAGCATACCGTAAGCGCGCACTTTGCCTTACTGCAGCTGTGTCACCTTCTTGGAATTTGGTACAGTGTAGTTGTGTACAAATCTACTATCTTGCTAATAAAAACCTGATTCAGTCTTGATAACATGCATTAAAAAAAAAATTCTAGAGCAGCGTTTTTGAAACTTGGCAACTGTGAAGTCCTGCTGTGTGGACTTCAGTTCCCAGAATTCCTCAGCCACTTCCAGGAGTCGAAGCTCACACATGTTAAACCTTTCAAAGTCTGAAAAAACGCTGCTCTAGAGCAGGGGTAGGCAACCTTGGCTCTTTTATGACTCGTGGACTTCAACTCCCAGAATTCCTGAGCCAGCATGGCTCAGCTTGGAAACCTCTCCCTGTCCCCTCAGCTTGGCTAGCTCAGGAATTCTGGGAGTTGAAGTCCACACGTCATAAAAGAGCCAAGATTGCCTAACGCTGCTCTAGAGGTATTCAAGTTGTGCCTACAGCTGTCTGTGCCAGCCCATTTTGCCCAGGGAGAGAGCAGGAATTAGTCAATCCCAAAGTAGCTATTGGATATTATTTGTTCTCATTTGAAGATCACAGACTAAATCTACTTCATGTTCCCAAAGCTTCTGATTCATGCCGAGTTTCAGCAGCTACATAACAGACCAGTGTTGTTAGACAGGACATGGGGCAATTAGAAAAAGAGAACTGTTTTGCAGCTACATACAGCTTTGGGGACAATTCAGAGTTAAAAAAAACATAACAAAACAGATCAATTTACCTTGTTTATTTAAATGGCAATTTTACAAATGCACACCAGAACGTCCTTTGGCACTTGGAAACCCGAACCTCATAGTGATAACGACGAAATCTAAGGCATAAATGCAGTCTTTAAAAACCCTGCTTTAAAACATACACAGTGCAGCACAGTTTAACAAATATTCCATCTTATATAAATTATTCGTAGCAAACTTCAAATAAGAACAGTACCACAGTAGAAAAATAAATGGGTACCTGATGATCGTTCAGTTTGATTTTTAACTGAATATTATTTAATTATTAAATACCATTGGTATTATCTAAAAGGATTCTGAATTTTGTTTCTGTTACCAATTGTGTGCCTAGAGATGGTTTGAATAATAAAGACTGGAAGCTTTAATTGGAATATTAACTGTTATTCTACGCTGTCAGGGTAACACTGCAAAACAGCAAAAATATTCCTCTACAATTTGCTCCGAGAGTTTAAAATGAATGGTAGCAATGAGTACAATAATGTTTTAATGCCAATATTTCATTTAAAAAAAGCTGATCTCGTTAATGCCTGCCCCATATACTCCCCCGAAAGCCTGAGGAAGAATTTATCGTGCAAGGCTGTATAGTGCTCCAGATGAAATTTAGAAGAAACACCTCAGAACATATAGAACAGGGGTGTGAAAACAGCTGTATCTGTTTCCCCGTTCGCTCAGCTGCAATGTGGAAACTTCGGGGGAGACTTTTGCAATTGCCTAAATCTGGGAACAGACACAGTTGCTTTAATGAGACTCGGGACAGGTGTGGTGTTTACACTCTTCATTCTGAAACGCTGCACATTCCTATCCATTTAGTCTTCACAACAGTATCCATACTCTGCCAAGAACATTTTCAATACATGTACGGGCTTTTTATTAAAACTGCACACTAGTTTACTAAGGAGCTGATGAGTCATTGCGACTACGAATCCAGTATTCGATATTAGAAACTGGCGCAACAAACCCGTCACTTAATTCTTCCTACGTAAACATCAGGGACCCAAACGTTGAAGCCATATGACCCCAAAAATAATAATAAATAAAATCAAAAAGAATGCATTATTCTAATCAAAAGCAAACCTTAACATGTTCAGTACATATATCCGGTGAATTTTGATAGCCGACTGCTGAACTAAGTATTCCAAACATTTCATAGTCCTCGACTTACAACTGTTCATTTAGTGACCGTTCAAAGTTACAACAGCACTGAAAAAAAAAGGGACTTATGACCTTTTTTTAATGACCGCTGCAGAATCCCCGTGGTCAAGGGGATCAATATTTGGACACTTGACAACTGATTCATATTTATGACGGTTGCAGTGTCCCCTATTGTGATATGACAAGCAACATCAAATGGGAAGCCAGATTCACTTAACAGCTGTTGTTACTAATTTAACAACTGAGGCGATTCATTTAACAACGATAGCAAGAAAGGCCGTAAAATGGGGCAAAGCTCATTTAGCAACCGTTTCTTAGCAACAGAAAATTTGGCCTCAATTGTGGTCATAAGTTGAGGACTACCGGTACTCCTATTTAAAAACGCCCTTGTAAGGAAAAAATCATTATCTACATGTAGAATATGTTAATATGTAATTAGGAACAATTAAATAGAAAACGAGATGCCCAATATCAAATATTAGATTTCGTCAAAGCAGTTGCCAAAGTTTAGTGGCAGATTCCATTCTTCTTGTTAAACTTTTTGTTGTTAACCTTGTTAAACTTAACATTTCATTGTGACATTAAAGCAGTGTTTCTTAACCTTGGCAACTTTCAGATGTCTGGACTTCAACTCCCAGAATTCTCCAGCCGGTTGAGAAACCCTGCATTAAAGCATATACAGTCCAGAACAAAATACTCCACCAAATAACATTTTTTTCATATGTTATGAAATGATGAGTTAATCGTAAACTTGCTTGTAAAATGTTTTGCAAAACTATCTCAACACCATCTTTTAATAGTCTTAAAGATCGTGAGGTTTGCAATTTTTCTTGTCTTCATATTACCTACTTTTAGCCTCTGAGGTGCCTTTGAATACTTCCACAAATAAAAATGATTGCAAACCATAGAACAGAAGCACCTCTAGTGTGATGTGGATTTGAGGATTTGTTTATTTTTGTTTATTTTATTTTATCAGTTGTCATACCAATTTCTGTAACTTTTATGAAACATTTAAACAGGATGTAACGTTAAGGCATTAGCTGAGGACTAAGGACCCAATAGAACTGAACATTAATTTAAGTGCTTGCACAACATTGGAATACTATTATCTCTTCCATACATGGCATGCAAGTATATACCAGCAGTATTTTAATTAAAATTAACTCTGAAATCAAGTAAAAAAACAAACAAACACCCCGATTTCAAAATAACACTACTACAATTTCTATTCAGTGCTGCTCTTCTGGAGCAGCCCAGCAGGGTGGCTTACAATTAAATTAGGCTTAAATCAAACTACAACAGCGGAACATAGCAGATGTATTTGCCTGTGTTTATTTTTGTTTATTTAAGAAAATTTATATGACTGCCTACCCACTCTGTGATTCTGGGTGGATTACAAAAAATAAACCGGTGTTAGCTAGTGATTTCAACCCAGAGCTGCACGGCGGAATAACAACAGGGCCACAGAGCGAAGGAATCGGGCAGCGATTTGCTCACAAGACTAAATTCCAGGCCACAAAATATGTGAGGCTATAAATTAAACATTCTCTGTGAACTCTTGTTAAAACTCCAAACTGCAAATTGTCCAGCTGCATCGTTCTATTGCGCTGCCTTTCAATTTATCGCTTCTCCTTTGATGCAGGCAGACCACAATTTATTTATACTATTACTCTTAGCAATTTCTCCCTTCAAGTACCATTCAGGCATTGGAAAGTCTAGCAGCAAATGCAGCATCCGATTTCCGTGTGGACATAATCGGTTCCAAATGACCATTTCTTCAAATACGTCAACAAAAGTACCGAAGTCTAGATATCTATTCATTACCTTAACCAGCAACTTTCAATGCATTCTCAACGTATAGAAATTGATTTGGGAAAAGGAATCTTTAATATTTAACAGAACGTAGTAAACAAGACCAAGGATTTTTTTTCTACCATTTGTACCACTTGATAGAAACAAATACGAGATCCGACCCCCTACAGAAATGCATATATAAATATAGCATGAATACTTGGAATTCTACTACTTACTACGATGTCCTGCTATATTTGAGGTAACAGTAGCTTTGGTCTAGCAGTTTTAAATATTCCACATCCCTTAGAACAGTGGTTCTCAACCTGTGGGTCGGGACCCCATTTGGGGTCGAACGACCATTTCACGGGGGTTGCCAAACAACGCAGTCCACCATTTTCCCCCCTTTTCCTTAGCTGTGCTACTCTCTTGAATAGAGTCTAATTCTATTGGCTTTCAAAAGCCAATAGGAATTGTCCAGGCTGTCTCTGCCCTGCTGAGCCCGCCAAAAGTCCCATTCTGCAAACTGTGCTGCACCAGTTGAGTAGTCCTCGACTTACGACCGGTTGGGGGTCGCGGCATTAAAAAGGTTGAGAACCACGGCCTTAGAAGGATCAGGGCCTTGATGCAGCCCAATTGCTTGTGTACCCAGCTATATTAGCATACAGTCAAAGTTGCAGATGATGCTCTGTGACTAGCTTCTCATTAGTGACCTCCCATTGATAATATCCCATTTTAAAACTGAAGCTGGAGATGGAAAGATTGAGTGAAGAAGGACACAATATGAGCAGAGAAGATACCGTCAAACTGTTCAATCTCAATTAGCAATAAAGCAGAATTTTATCTGCAGTCAACCAATAAATTCCATGCACTCTCGCAAGGCAGACTTAAATGTTTTTAATCTTGTTCAGTTTTCACGGGACCTCTGCCAGAGGCATTTTCAAATGCCACGCCTAAAAAACTGATAAACCAAAAGTCTTTAAAAACATTTTAAACTGCGGGATATTTTCCAAAATGAGCCAACAGCTGTTTGGGCAGAAGCAGAGGTTGGTAATCCTATCATGAGTTTTGCCAAACTCAAATTATTCAAAGTACTACTTGGAAAAAATGGATTTTTTAATTTAGTAGGAAAAGAGAATAATAACAATAGCACTTAGACTTATATACCGCTTCACTGCCCTCTAAGCAGTTTACATAGTCAGCCTCTTGCCCCCAACAATCTGAGTCCTCATTTTACCGACCTCGGAAGGATGGAAGGCTGAGTCAACCTTGAGCCGGTGAGAGTCGAACTGCTGGCAGTCGGCTTTCAGCAGAATTAGCCTGCAGCACTGCATTCTAACCACCAGGGTTCTGATAGTCCAATGACCTATAGCTGCTCAATCATAGACATAGACTCTTTTTTCCATAATCAAGTTTCCAGAAAGATTTGAATTCTCCAGCCAAAATTAGAACATGGAATTCAATACATATAAATTTCAAAGAACAGATGCCTGAATTATAATGAGACCAAATAAGGCTCTAAGTATAATGTCTGAGAAATACACACTTGCAACGATAAAAGTACCAGAAACAAAAATGAATTATGTATTATTGTTGCAGGAGTCTTTGCCAAAAGCTCTAGGGGGCCATATTAACAAAACAGCTGAAGCGTGCTGCCCTTGGCAAATCCCAAAACAATTCTTCCAAGTTATTTTTGAAACACACACAGGCTTATTTGGCAATTTTAATTCAACAATACCTCGAAGTACATTCTGCACATCTGTTTAACTGCCTTACTAAAATGCACTTCCACCCAGCAAGGAACACGATTGGCCTAATCAGCAATGCTACCTGTGGAGATCTGTGCAGAAGAAGTGCTTCCATTTAATATTTCTACAAATAATTAAAAACATCCTCGCAAACATGCAGTGGCTTGAACTTAAATATAGTGATTTTTCTTTTCCACAGTACCCACGTTCGCCTCTAATACGTATTGCCACATGGATTCATGGTGGTTTGACAACCCATATTGTGACTCTTGACTGGAATACGGAATAAGGTCCCATCAGAACATACGCAAAGTTTGTAACGTTCCCAGTCACCATTGTTAAATTGTTCCTTGTGAGAAGAATTTGGCAGTCGCGATACGTTGATCATCATACTTCCATTCAGGATAATGGAGTTGTCCTAGGAAAGGAATATGTTGAAATCAATAAACATGTAACTATCT